ACCAATAGATGGTGAGCTTGGCTACAATGTAGGATGTTTTAATGCTTTTAAAGACTTATCCTATCTGTGTCCTGAAAGTCCTCTGGATTCTAAAAAAAAGAGACTTATCTTAAAGGTTACAGGAAGCTATAGATAAAGAAAGGAAGGACAAAGATAGGAAATTTGGCCAGATCAGATAGAAGAAGGACTGGCAGGCACTTTAGGTTTCTGCAGGCAAGGAGGCAAGACTAGGAAGGCCAGCAAAAGCTTTTCTTGGTCACCCCTTCGATTACCACTGGAGACTTGTGATTGCAGACTCTGCACTAAGGGGCTTAAATACCTCTCAGTTTCTATCAGGTGTCGTATGCATGGCCATTTCCTGCTAGATGTGCTTGAGTTCAATTCTTTTTTTTTTTGAGACAGAGTCTTGCTGTGTCGCTAGGCTGGAGTGCAGTAGCGCAATCTCGGCTCACTGCAACCTCCACCTCCTGGGTTCAAGTGATTCTTCCACGTCAGCCTCCCAAGTAGCTGGGACCACAGGTGTGTGCCACCACGCCCAGCTAATTTTTGTATTGTTAGTAGAGACAGGGTTTCACCATGTTGACCAGGATGGTCTCGATCTCTTGACCTTGTGATCTGCCCGCCTTGGCCTCCCAAAGTGCTGGGATTACAGGCGGGAGCCACCATGCCCAGCTGCTTGAGTTCAATTCTTAATACTGTTGTCTTGTTGGCTGGGAGTTTCCAGTGGCCTTCTCTACTTCTCTACTTAGGTTGGACTTCTCACCCGGGTTCACAGGTGCCTGCAGGTGGGACAGGTGCTCCTTCACTGCATTTTCACCATCCTATTTCTAGAATTCTACAGTGCCCAATATGCTAAAGGTTAATCTCTGATTTAACAAGAGAATGGGCTAGGCGCTGTGGCTCGTGCCTGTAACATTTTGGGAGGCCAAGGTGGGTGGATCACCTGAGGTCAGGAGTTCAAGACCAGCCTGGCCCATCCTAAACCCTGTGTCTAATGAAAATACAAAAATCAGCTGGGTGTGGTGGCATGCGCCTGTATTCCCAGTTTCTCAGGAGGCTGAGGCAGGAGAATTGCTTGAACCAGGAGGTGGAGATTGCAGTGAGACGAGATTGTGCCACCACTGCACTCCAGTCAGGGCAACTTTGCAGCAAAAAAAACCCAAAAAACAGAAGTGAGATCAACCAACTTGCCCAAGAAGCTGTCCCAATACAAAGCTCTTTGCACACACTTTTCTGTCTGAATCACCGAAATCTTCTCTTTTCTAGAAAAGAGGCCTCATCTTTAAAGTTTTAGAGTATTTATTGTCAAAATCTATGTGTCTCAATTATGTATTCTCTGGTATTGTTCACAATTGCTGTCTGTGTCAGTCTTAACTCCCTACCTAGATGCTAAGTCCCTTGAACACAGATTCATGGCTTATACACAAGGGTTTCTCAAACTTTAATATGCACATAATCACCTGGGGAACTTGTAAAAAGGGAGATTCTGATTCAGAAGGTTGGAGGCCCCAAATGGGGCCTCAGGCTCCACATTTCTGACAAATCCCCTTAATTGTGGTTCCATGCTCCTGGCCCAGCACAGGACTCATTGATTGATTGATTGCTGTTCTCTCTTAGAAACCTTGCAGGGGTTCATTTTCTCTGCTAGACATTAATTTTCCCTGTCTGTACCATGTTAAAGGGTTAATAATCGTTTGTCTTTGTGATGGGCAGGCAGTAGTGAGGCTGGTTAAAGCATGACTTTGAGCCACTCAAATAAAAAGCTAACATGTATTAAGTACTTACTATGTGTTGGGCACTGGGTTATTTCTTTCTCTCACTCAACTCTCCTCTCTGAAGTCTCTCTCTGGGTGGGCTGGGGCACAATGGCTCATGCCTGTCATTCTAGCACTTTGGGAGGCTGATATGGGTGCATTCATTGCCTGAGCTCAGGAGTTCAAGACCAGCTTGGGCAACTTGGTGAAACTCCATCTCTACTAAAATACAAAAAGTTAGCCAGGCTTGCTTGTGCGTTCTTTAGTCCCAGGTACTCAGGGAGGCCAAGGTGGGAGAATGGCTTAGAACCTGGGAGGCGGAGGTTGCAGTGAGCTGAGATCATGCCACTGCACTCTAGCCTGGGTGACAGAGTAAGCCTCCGTCTCAAAACACACAAGTGCGTGTGCCCACACACACACACACACACACACCCCAAACCTGCCTTTTTTTTTTTTTTTTTTTTTTTTTGAGACAGAGTCTCGCTCTTTCACCCATGCTGAAGTGCAGTGGTACCATCTCAGCTCACTGCAACCTCTGCTTCCCGGGTTCAAGCCGTTCTACTGTCTCAGCCTCCTGAGAATCTGGGATTACAGGTGCGCACCACCATACCTGGCAAATTTTTGTATTTTTAGTAGAGACAGGGTTTCGCCATGTTGGCCAGGCTAGTCTCCAACTCCTGACCTCAAGTAACCCACCCACCTCGGGCTCCCAAAGTGCTGGGATTACAGGCGTGAGCCATCGTGCCCAGCCCCTGCCAGGATTTTTATGTCAGCTAATAGTTTTAAAAATCATGACTGATTTTTCACAGTAGTCACTGTTTTATGCCCTGTACAATTATATAGAACATGTTTCAAAAGATTTTGAATCAAAGAGTATTTAATTTGCATAACTCGGAGAAGTGAATTATGAATTTACTAATATAAAATTATTATTCTTCTGGGTTTCAGGAGATCAAGAGCAGTAAATTTGGCCAAAACAAAGATGCATTTGCTTTGAAAATTCTTTAAAATTCAAAATCAAACTAGTAAGCATTTTATTGATTAAAAATGGATTTTCCTTCTCAATAGGAAAACATATTTCAGGTCCACTTTTTTCCTTGAGTTAAGAGGAATGTGTGTGTGTGTGTGTGTGTGTGTGCATGCGTGCGTGTGCGTGTGTGTTTGTATGCATGTATATATCTTCACAATAAACTTTGACTTAAGTGCTATTATTCCCATCTTAAAGGTTTGGAAACTGAGGCCATAAGAGTAAATGGCTTGCCCACTTTTACACTGCTACTAGGGACTCACCCAGGATAGAAATTCAATTCTGTTGCCGGTGCAGTGGCTCGCACCTATAATCCCAGCACTTTGGGAGGCTTAGGCAGTCTGATTGCCTGAGCTCAGGAGTTTGAGACCAGCCTGGGCAACACGGTGAAAGCCTCTCTCTACTAAAATAATACAAAAAATAAGTTGGGCATGGTGGCGTGCACCTGTAGTCCCAGTTACTTGGGAGGTTGAGGCAAGAGTATTGTTTGAACCTGGGAGGCAGAGATTGCAGTGAGCCGAGATCACGCCACTGCTCTCCAGCCTGGGAGACAGAGCAAGACTCTGTCTCAAAAAAACAAAAACAAAGAAAACCAAATTCAATTCTGTTTTCAAACCCACATAAGTTTTTAACATTTTATTTTGAAAAATTAACCTACAGAAAAGTTTCAAGAATGATACAATGAACATGCATATTCCCTTCCTCTATATTCACCAGTTGTTACTATTTAAAAAAATTTTTTTTCTAGACTCAAGGTCTTGTTATGTTGCCCAGGCTGGTCTCCAACTCCTGGGCATAAGCGATCCACTAGCCTCAGCCTCCCAAAATGCTGGGATTATAGGCATGAGCCACTGTGCCTGGCCAGTTGTTACTATTGTCCACATTTGTAAAACCCTCATCCTTTTTCTTTTCTTTTTTGTTTTTGAGACAGAGTCTTGCTCTGTCACCCAGTCTGGAGTGCAGTGGCACAATCATGGCTCACTGCAGCCTTGATCTCTGGGCTCAAGCGATCCTCCCGCCTCAGCCTCCTGTGTAGCTGGGACCATAGGCAAGCACCACCATGGCTGGCTAAACTTTTTATTTTTATTTTTAATAGAGACTGGTGGGTGGGAGTGTCTCTCTATGTTGCCCAGTGGTCTTGAACTCCTGGTCTCAAGCAATCCTCCTACTTTGGCCTCCCAAAGTGTTAGGATTACAGGCATAAGACACCATGCCCCGCTAAAGCCCTCATTCTTTTTCTTTATTTTAAGTATTTTATTTAAAGAGACAGGGTCTCACTGACTGTCTTGTTACTCAGGCTGGCCTTGAACTCCTATACACAAGCTACCCTCCTGCCTCAGCCTCCCAAAGTGCTGGGATTACAGGCATGAGCCACCATGCTTAGCTAAACTCTCATGCTTAATCACTGTACTGTTTATTAGGTATATGGTGGTCTTGGGATATTATATGATCCATCTGTTTAATTTCTTCATTTGTAAGGGCATAAAAAATTACATTGAGGGTTTTTAAAATGGGATTAAGTGAAATAATATACTTATTTTTTCTACAAATGTTTATTAATCTCCTACTGTGCTGGGATGAATACCAGACGTTGTTCCAGGTCCGGACAAAGCAAGACAGCACAGTCCATACCCAAACAGAACTTAGAATCAGAGGTGGGGAGGCCAGACAGTGAAGGGCACACAAGGCAATTTCAGGATATCTAAGCACTGGAGAGGAGACAACACCTTTAGATACAGTGGTCTGGGAAGGCTTACTGGAGGAGGTGACCCCTGGCCAGAAGCCCTTCCCACAGAAGGGAATAAATGCAAAGACAGGGGAAGAACGGTCCAGCCTGCCCAGAGTGAGTGCTGAGCATCTCTTTCACCAACATAGCAAGAGACTGGGGTACTGCCTTTTGTGGAGATTGTTTTTAGAAGAGAGCACACTTTGTCAGCTAGACTAGATCTTAATTTGACAAAAGATAGGCTAGGCCAGCCAGTTTTTCACAATCTATTCCAGATTGCACATTTATAACTCTTCTTCACAGGGTATGGCAAGCATGGATTTCTGAGAATCAGTCTTTATAAAAGGTGCCTTGAATTCCTTGGTAATGATTTCCTTTTAAGCATGTTACTTTTATTATTAACAAACTGCTTTTTAAATTAACGGTAGTTGCTGTCCAAAGGAAGTCTGATCTGTGTTTCTGAAATCTCAATAATCTTTTGTTTCTAATTAAGGAATTGGATGAAGACATGCATCAGAAAATTGCAAGGGAAATGAACCTCTCTGAAACTGCTTTTATCCGAAAAATGCACCCGACAGACAACTTTACACAAAGTAAATATGCATTTTTTTTTAACTGCTCTGTCGCCCAGGCTGGAGTGCAGTGGCATGATCTCGGCTCACTGCAACCTTCGCCTTTTGGGTTCAAGCAATTCTTGTGCCTCAGCCTTCCAAAATGCTGGGATTATAAGTGTGAGCCACAACACCTGGCCTAAATATGCATTCTTTAAAATCATTCTTGAATGATACCAGAAATTATTTTTTAGGTAGGGGAATGTCTTTTGGAAAATGCCCCCTTGTTATTTGCATGCAGATAGTAGACAGAGCAGGAGATTCTAATTTGGTTTTCGGTTCATCTTGGGGAGGGGGTGTTGGTGAATCTGAATGTTTCCATTCCAGATCTAGCACTGGGGAGCCCTAGGATGCTTGCCTTGCCATCATTCCTCCTTTTACACCGTGTTTTGGCTATTCATCATGCTAGAGAAATATTTAGGAAAGAGGAAAATGAGAAGTCTGTGACCTGCTTGCATGGGAATGATCTCATCTCTCTTTGGCTTTTCCTACCCTCAGGTTCCTGCTTTGGACTAAGGTGGTTTACACCAGCAAGTGAGGTCCCACTCTGTGGTCACGCCACCCTGGCTTCTGCAGCTGTGCTGTTTTACAAAATAAGTATTGTGATTTTCTTTAATTAATCTAACACTTAGCAAATGGCAATTTTTTTTAAGTTCTCACACTTTTTCTGGTGGTTCAAAGTGACTGGTATAAAGACTTCACAGAGTTTACTTCATGCTATTCATAACACAGAAACAAAAACAGCAAAGATAGCACTTTGGCCTTTCTGAGTATGTGCCCAGTATCATTGGAAAGCTGCAGTCAGAATGCCATTTTATTTATTTTATATTTTCATTTTACTTTACTTTCTGGTCTACAAAGAGTTGACAACCATTTCATTTTATTATTATTATTATTATTATTTGAGACAGAGTCTCACTCTCTTGCCCAGGCTGGAGTGCAGTGGCATGATCTCAGCTCACTGAGACCTCCACCTCCTGGGTTCAAGTTATTCTCCTGCCTCAGCCTCCCGAGTAGCTGGGATTACAGACTCCCACCACTGCACCCAGCTAATTTTTCTAGTTTTAGTAGAGATGGGGTTTCACATGTTGGCCAGGCTGCTCTCGAACTCCTGGCCTCTGGTGATCCATCCACATAAGCCTCCCACAGTGCTGGGATTACAGGTGTGACCCACTGCACCTGGACTCATTTTAAACCAGAGATTGCTGGTTTTGTGAAGCTTGTATGGGCAGAATTGTCATCTCATACGATATGATATCGGGGACTGACAGGCACATTTCGCTCCAATTATTTCCCCTGCCATGTTGAAATTCATTTCACAATAAGAGATTCTTCAATTTTTTTTTTTTTTTTTTTTTTTTTTTTTAAGATGGGGTTTAGCTTGGTTGCCCAGGCTGGAGTGCAGTGGTGGGATCTCAGTTCATTGCAACCTCTGACTCCTGGGCTTAAGCCATCCTCCCACTTCAACCTTTCAAGTAGCTGAGACCACAGGCGCACACCACCGTACCTGGCTAATTTTTGTATTTTTTGTAGAGACAGGGTTTTGCTATGTTGCCCAGGCTGGTCTCAAATTTCTGAGCTCAAGTGATCCGCCCGCCTTGGCCTCCCAAAGTGCTGGGATTAGAGGCATGAGCCACCATGCCCAGCCAATAAGAGTTTCTTTGCTTGAATTTTAAAGATTCCTGGGCCCCCACAGTGGGCATTCATCTTAAGAGGAGTTGCAGCACCTTAATTCGGCCAGTTTCTATCATAGCTGAATTTAGTTTAATGGATAGAGATCAGGGCCTTGTGGGAATGGGACAGAGAAGAGATTTCTGGAAAATGCCCCAAACAGGAGATGGAAAGAGCCATAAACAAGAATAAACAGCAAACAGAGATGGAAACAAGAAATTAAACAGGATGATACGACAGAGGTCACTGTGGGGGTTGGGCAAAACCTCATCTCTACTAAAAATACAAAAATTACCCAAGCGTGGTGGCACACGCCTAGCTACTCAGGAGGCTGAGGCAGGAGAATCGCTTGAACCTGTGAGGCAGTCATTGCAGTGAGCCAAGATCGCACTGTTGCACTCCAGCCTGGGCAACAAAGCGAGACTCCGTCTCAAAAAAAAAAAAAAAAGAAAGCAGGATTGAATAGAGGGAGGAATTCAACTTCGTAGTAGTAGCAACAAAGAAAGGCTTAGGCCAAATCCATAGGGAGCTCTGAAGCTGGGCATTTCTTCAAGTAGTATAGTTCCAAGTAGAGGCAAAGAGTCAGGCCTTTTTACCCTCTGTGGACCAGTCCCCAAAGCCTGGAAAAGATGTATGACTTTGGGCAAGGTAGCTCTACTCAGCCAAGGGTAACTCCAAGAGAGTGACTCAGCTGAGAGATGTGGGCCACCAGCACTCTGGGCAAGCAGGGTCAGGGCTGGGTGTAGGGATAGCCAGCAAGGTCCAGGTTACAGCTGACAGCAGGTGCCTCCCTACACTTTGCACCCTATGGTACTTCCTTGCCTCAGGGAGTCCCAGCCTAGAGGACATGGGTCAGATATAGAATATGGATCAAATATGGAAATTTGATCTAAAGGATAAGATGAAGCATCTGTGCGATGAGCTGGAGTGAGAGGAGGAGCATCCCAGGCAGAGGCTAGAAAGTGCAAACCCCCTGGGGCCTGTCGATATGATTGGCAGGAGATAAAGTTGAGAGGCCATATAATGTAATTCAATATATATTTCAAAAAGACTGATATTGGTAACTGTGGATAGGGGACACATGCAAAGGCAAGCAAACATCCTGAAATGTTTAGGAACTGAGTCTTGAAAAATAGGGTTTACTGAAATTAGATTGAGTGTCTTTTGTTTTTTTGTTTTTGTTATTTTGACATGAGTTTTACTCTTGTCACCCAGGCTGGAGTGCAATGGCAAGATTTTGGCTCACTGCAACCTCCACCTCCTGGGTTTAAGCGATTCTCCTGCCTCAGCTTCCCAAGTAGCTGAGATTACAGGCGTCTGCCACCATACCTGGCTAATTTTTGTATTTTTAATAGAGATGGGTTTTCCCATATTGGCCAGACTGGTTTCAAATTCCTGACCTCAGGTGATTCACCTGCCTCAGCCTCCCAAAGTGAGATTGAGTGTCTTTTGAAAACTGGACTCCACATGGGTTGGTTTGATGCTGAGGTTTGGAATAATCACACCCTGGAATCCTTCATAGGGCAGTCTTTTTTTTTTTTTCACTCTTGTTACCCAGGCTGGAGTGCAATGGTGCAATCTCGGCTCACCGCAACCTCCGCCTCCTGGGTTCAGACGATTCTCCTGCCTCAGCCTCCTGAGTAGCTGGGATTACAGGCATGCACCACCATGTCCAGCTAATTTTTTGTATTTTTAGTAGAGACGGGGTTTCACCATGTTGACCAGGATGGTCTCGATCTCTTGACCTCATGATCCAGCCGCCTCAGCCTCCCAAAGTGCTGGGATTACAGGCTTGAGCCACCGCACCTGGCCCCAGGGCAGTCTTAATGTTAGATGAGCTAAGGTATAATAACGTCTTATACTGGTTGTAATGAGAAAAATTAAGCTTTGGGTTTCCAAGTGTAAATTTTATGTTCAATGAAAATTAATAAGCCAAAGTTCTTCACCTTTGACATGTGGTTTAAGTTTTACAGAAATATTAAAGGGGAGAAAAGAATTAGGTGGCCATCCTTTGTTTTCATTAAAAATGTTATATACACTGATAAGTAGCCCAAGTTGTACCAGCAACATGGATGCCAGGATTTGTGGTGCATTCGTGTGTGTGTGTGTGTGTGTGTGTGTGTGCGCGTGCGTGTGTGCATGCGCGTGTATGTGGTGTTTTTTTTTTTGTTGTTTGTTTGTTTTCTGAGACGGTCTCACTCTGTCTCCCAGGCTGGAGTGTGGTGGCACGGTCTTGGCTCACTGCAACCTCCGCCTCCCAGGTTTAAGTGATTCTCCTGCCTCAGCCTCCTGAGTAGCTGGGACTACAGATGCATGCCACCATGCCCAGCTAAATTTTTGTATTTTTAGTAGAGACGGGATTTCACCACATTAGCCAGGATAGTCTTGAGCTCCTGATCTCATGATCAACCTGCCTCAGCCTCCCAAAGTGCTGTGATTATAGGCGTGAGCCATGATGCTGGGCCAGTGGTGCATTCTTTAAATCACATTGTTATGTAAAAGGTTTGGTTTATTTAGGATAAACCCAATTTATTTCATGTAAGACTGATATTTACAACTTAAATGTTTTATTATTCCCTTGGCATATCTTAGACTAGAAGAGCTTATGACTCTAGTTGTTGCTGCTGGATATTTAAAAATCTGTATTAGAAACATTGTAGGCTGGGTACAGTGGCTCATGCCTGTAATCCTAGCACTTTGGGAGCCAAGGCTGGAGGATCAATTCAATCTAGAACTTAGAGACCAGCCTGGGCAACATAGTGAGACCCTGTCTTTAAAAAACTTTTTCACCTGTTATCCCAGAACTTTGGAAGGCCGAGGTGGGTGATCATGAGGTCAAGAGATTGAAACCATCCTGGCCAACATGGTGAAACCCCGTCTCTACTAAAAATGCAAAAAAATTAGCTGGGCATGGTGGTGCATGCCTATAGTCCTAGCCACTCGGGAGGCTAAGGCAGGAGAATTGCTTGAACCCGGGAGGCGGAGGTTGCAGTGAGCTGAGGTCATGCCACTGCACTCCAACCTGGCGCCTGGTAACAGAGTGAGACTGTCTCAAAAAAAAAAATTTTTTTTTTCATGGCTTATGTCTGTAATTCCACCTACTTGGGAGGCTGAGTTGGGAGGATTGCTTGAGCTCAGGAGGTTAAGGCTGTAGTGAGCCAGTGCCCAGCTTGGGCGATAGAGTGAGACAGTTGCTCAAAGAAAGAGAAAACTTTCTTTGAGCAACTGTCTCACTCTATTAATAAACCTATGACAGGTAGGTTTATTAACCTGATTTTATAGATGAGGAAACTGAGATTTAAGAAGAGTGGCCAGGGGTGATGGCTCACGCCTGTAATCTCAGCACTTTGGGAGGCTGAGGCAGGTGGATCACTTGAAGTCAGGAGTTTGAGACCAGCCTGACCAATATGATAAAACCTTGTCTCTATTGAAAATACAAAAATTAGCCAGGCGTGGTGGTGCACACCTGTAATTCCAGTTTCTTGGGTAGCTAAGGTGAGAGAATCACCTGAACCTGGAAGGCCGAGGGTGCAGTGAGCTGAGATCACCCCACTGTACTCCAGCCTGGGCAACACAGTGAGACCCTGTCTCAAAAAGAAAAAAAGGAGGCTAAGTTAGTAAGGGCACAGTTAGTAAGCAGTACAGAGCTGGGGTCTGAAGGCTTGAAGTTTGATGCCACATTCAATCAGTTATGTTTTCGGTTCTCAAGTTAGAATCTAGTGAGAGTTTTCTCTATTCTAGACCCCAGCAACCCAAACCTCGCTCCATCACAGAAAAGGATGGCATCGCCAGAAAGTCTAACACAATGCAAAGGTGTTTGAAATAGACATGCATATATATAACAAAGTTTATTTCCTATTTCTTGATTTCTGTTTTGGCCAGAAAACATGAACAGCATGCTCTCATTTGTCACTCTGAGTGGGGAACTAAAGGCCAGACGAGAAGAGGATGACATCATTCTGGACTTGCCTCTTTATCCAGCCCACCCCCAGGTCACCTCTTTGTAATTATTGCCCTAAGCTGTGTGCAACTGACAGCTCTCCTGCTTTATAATAATTTTATTTTTTTTCCTCCCATCTAGAACTTCCATGAAGTAGAGGACTTGATAAAGGTTGGTAAAAAGAATCAAACCCGAGCCTAGTTATTGGTTATTGTTTGCACAGCAAGATTTAGTACCATTTGATCCCCAAAGAAAGGTCTTCTACCAATATAAATGTTACAGTGTTTCAAGTTTGAATTTTAATATTCATTCTATTTGGTGAGAAGGTTGACCAGTTTTTCTTGGCTCCTGATTGCCAGTGCTGGCTCCCATGGTAGGGTGGAGGGAAGAGACACTGTTGTATGGCAGGCTGAAAGGCACAAAAGAACCAATGGAGGTGGCAAAGAAGAGGGAGAATAGGATATCTTAAGGAAATGTAAGTTTCTGGGAGGAGACAAGCTTTTAGGGAAATGAAGGGATATTGAATGTCTGTGATTCTCTAGCTAGAAGGAGAGGAATGGAGAAATGGGTCCAGAGCATCACCATGCAAGTTCAGGTGCGAAAGTTGGGGATTTCTGGCAGAAAGAGGTCATTCCATAAAATCCGTACACACAAGGTGGAGGGGAAAAAAGATGGAAGCTTCCTGGCAGCTGTCAGTGTCCCCAGTTTCTATAGTAAAGGATGAAACTGAGGTGGGAGAGGGATGTGCTTTGATGGAGGAAACCAAGAAAGCATGAGTATCTTGCAGAGAAGACGATGCAGAACATGAGCTCCTCATGGGGTCTGTGTGGGCATGGGGCCTAATAATATTAATGATGATGAAACATTTTGAGAGTCTCTCTGTGTGCAGTGCCACTTGCTGAGCATTTCACTTGCATTGTCCATTTAATTCTCAATGTTTCTCAGCGAGGTGGGCACTGCAGTTGTCCCACGGAGGTTCTGCAGGGCCAGAGAAGCCCTGGATGACCAGGGGCTTGGTATGTAGAGAAGAGAGGACCCAGGTCAGGACCAGGGCAAGGGCTGTCATGAGAAGAATGATTCTGTAACTTAGTCTATTGTGAGTACTACTGGGGTATTTCTCAGTGAATTTTTAACTACAGCATTTGTAATCTCTTTAGTGTTTGGCTTTATCGATGTTTTCAAAGAATATAAACAAATAAGCATGATGGATCCTGATTTTATACTCAGCCCCACTTATGGTTGGGTTTCTGAAGACAAGCCAAATTTAAAAACAAACAAACTGCTTTAAACATACTGGTAAGAAAGTGGGAAAAAATTTATACTGGTAGACCATGTTCATGGTAGAAAGAACTTAACTTAGCCTCAGAGTCAGCATTTATTAAATGGGATAATAAAGGGTTGTAAGTATTGTCATTTTGTGTTCTTCCCTAGAAACTGGCACTAAGATTCCCAGCCCAGAATTAAACTTTTTTTTTTTTTTTTTTGAGATGTAGTTTTGCTCTTGTGGCCCAGGCTGGAGTGCAATGGTGTAATCTCGGCTCACCGAAACATCTACCTCCTGGGTTCAAGCAGTCCTCCTGCCTCAGTTGTCAGTAGCTGGCAATACAGGCATGTACCACCATGCCAAGATAACTTTGTATTTTTAGTAAAGATGGGGTTTCTCTGTATTGGTGAGGCTGAACTTGAACTCCCAACCTCAGGTGATCTGGCCACCTCGGCCTTCCAAAGTGCTGGGATTACAGGCATGAGCTACTGTACCTGGCCTTAAACTGTTTTTTGACATGAAGTCTTACTCTGTAGCCCAGGCTGGAGTGCAGTGGCATGATCTCAGCTCACTGAAACCTCTGCCTCCCAGGTCCTGGTTCAAGCAGTTCTCCTACCTCAGCCTCCCAAGTAGCTGAGACTACAGGCATGAGCCACCATGCCCAGCTAATTTTTGTATTGTTTAGTAGGGATGGAATTTCACCATGTTGGCCAATCTGGTCTTGAAGTCCAGACCTCGTGATCCACCTGCCTCAGCCTCCCGAAATGCTGGGATTTCAGGTGTGAGCCACTGCATCCGGCCTACTTTTAAATCAACATATGAACCCATGCAGATAAGGGAAGCGTTTGAGAGACCAAGGCTCTAGAGAACAGATGGGATCTGGCTATAGAATTCCCATTTCTTGAGGAAGTGACATTGGTCAGCCCATAGTCACAGACACAGAAAGCTCAAGTACCACCCCAGGCACAAGGAATTCTGTCTGTGGGAACTGGAGTATCTTGACCTCTCACAAGGTTTAGGGACCTGAAGCCACCTAGCGATTACCACACAGCTACTGCATAATTATCATCTGCCGGGCCTGGCAGCTGGGAGTGGTGCCAAAGGATGACTTGGTGGTGTGGGAAGGGGTTGTCTCCTTGTAATCTCCCTCAGTGCTCCAAGCCACCCTCAGACAAGCATACGAACAAATGATGTTCCTGGATTTCAGAAGATTATGTGCAGTCAGGTAGACTAAACCAAGGTATCCTGACAGCATGTTATGTTACTGATCTGTCACATACAATCTGAGTGAAAGTGGTGTGCTTGCCAAGCAGAGCAGCGTAAGACGAGTCCTCTAGTCCTTACTTCCAGTCAAACTGCTAGTCCTGAGTCCTTGCCATGTGGAATGTTCTAATTGCTGCTGCAGGAACTCACATATATGATTTCATTTAATCCTCACAGCTCTAAGAGGTGGACATAAGGCTCACCATCTCCAAGGATAGTGGTCAGTAGGGATTTAGAGCTTTTTCTCTGACCTTCTCAGACCTGGGTCAAGGAGTGAGTGTGAGTGTGTGTGTGTGTGTGTGTGTGTGTGTGATCTTTGGCCTTTCTAAGTCTCTTTCTCCTTCTCTGTGGGGAGAATACCTACTTGAAGGAGCTGTGCATTAAGGTACATAGTAGGTAGGCACTTGTGAGAAATGCCTGGTTTTTTTTGAGAGGAAGTCTCTCTCTGTCTCCCAGGCTGGAGTGGAGTGGTGCAATCTCAGGCAAGTGATTCTTGGTTCATCAGGTTCAAGTGATTCTCTTGCCTTAGCCTCCAAAGTAGCTGGGATTACAGGCATGCACTACTGTGCCTGACTAATTTTTTAATTTTTAGCAGAGACGGGGTTTTGCCATGCTGGCCAGGCTGGTCTTGAACTCCTGATATCAGGTGATCCACCTACCTCAGCCTCCCACAGTGCTGGGATTACAGGTGTAAGCCACTGTACCCAGATGCAGTGCCTGTTCTGAGGCTCACAGAGATGTCTGTGGTAGCCAGGAGTCTGACCATCCTTGGGCAACAGCTTAAGCTCTGAAACTGCACTAACACTCTTGGGTACTGGAGTCGATGGGCGTGCTTGGCTCACAGTGGATGCTCAGTGAGAGGTCATTCCCCATTTCAGGGGATCAATGACTTGACCCAGGGCATGCCCCTGAGGAGATTTTGGTCTGTCTCTACAGACTACCATAGGCAACACGCTGGTCCAGGACGTCTGTTATTCTCCAGACACCCAAAATCTCCTCGTCCGCCTAAGTGACGCTTATGACAGGTAAGATTTTTGGCTTCATCAGCACTTTGGGGAGGGTTGACTGCCCAGATTTATGCTCTGCCTTGGTCTGGCTGTGCTGTGTGCAGTCAAATCATGATTTATGCAGCCAGAGTGTTTCTTTCCCTGGTCGGAAGACATTACCACTTGTTCTTCCCTCCCCTCCTGCTGAGCTGCTTGAGCAAGCTGCACCCCAGCCTGTTTCACAGTCTGTCTGGCAAGTGGGCTGTGAAATGGGTTTGTCATAATCCGTCTCGTTTATGAACAAGGTCATTTCTGGAGAACCTGAAAGTGAACACGGAGAATCTGACGCAAGTTGAAAACACAGGGAAGGTGAAAGGACTTATTCTTACCCTCAAAGGAGAGCCCGGTGGGCAGACCCAAGCATTTGACTTTTACTCCAGATATTTTGCACCATGGGTTGGTGTGGCTGAAGACCCAGTGACAGGTACTTTTTACTTGAGTTGAGGGGAGGGTAAAACAATGGAAGAGGAGGATCACAAATAGTTATTTAAGTGCACTTCATATAACCTTTCAGGTGGCTTGGGCAGGCAGACAGCAAGGTTAAACCTGAGTGTCAGACAGCCTGGGTTTACATTACTAGCTTCCAAGCTCTTGACCTTGAGCAAGTGACTTGACTTTTAAAAGTCTCAGTTCCCTCCTCTATAAATTGTGTATGATACCTCATAGGGCTATAAAATCACAATGCATGTTAAGGGCTTAATACAGTGCCTGGCACATGGTAAGTGCCCAATAACTACTAGCTATTTTATTTCATTATTATGTTTATTTTTTTTTGAGACAGAGTCTCACTCCATCACCCAGGCTGGAATGGAGTGGCATGATCTCAGTTCACTGCAACCTTGACCTCCCAGGTTCAAGTGATTCTCTTACCTCAGCCTCCCAAGTAGCTGGGACTACAGGCGCCTGCCACCACACCCAGCCAATTTTTCTATTTTTAGTAGAGATAGGGTTTAACCATGCTGGCCAACCTGGTCCCGAACTCCTGACCTCAAGTGATCTACCCTCCTTGGCCTCCCAAAGTGCTGAGATTACAGGCATGAGCCACTGTGCCAGGCCAACTACTAGCTATTTTAATAATAACAGCAAAACTATCTCTACTAGCTATTTTAATAATAACAGCAAAATTATCTCCTTGAGCCAACAATTCTAGATTATTCACTACCTGGAAGCGGAGGGATGGAGTAAAAAATGGGCAGAAATGTCATGACTCCTACTCTCACCCTCTTTGGGAACAGTGGGCTGAGCTGCAAAGGATGAGAATGCTTGATGTGGGAGGATGGTTGGGGGGATGGCGAACAGGGCCACAGGAGTTTGAATAGAGCCTTCAAGACTCCTGTTCTGGTCAGGTGGCAGGGCTTGGATGGCTCAGTTACTCTCTGAGGAACAAAGCACATGAAATTCAAAACTCAGCAAACAAGCACTTTTAAAGACTCAGGAAAATGCCCAGCAACATCTCAACAGTCCAACTTCCCCGTGGAAGAAAAGTTCTGAGCAGATTTGTACATACATGCACAGCTGCTTCTCAAAGATTCTAATTGGCACAGAGGGCAATTTTTTTTTTTCCTGTAATAATGCTTTTCTAGAGTGTAAAGATCCTTGGACTTTACCAATCATCTGGGTTTGCTTGAGACTGAGGGGTTTCTCAGGATGCAGAACTTTCAGTGCTAAAACCAGGACAGTCTCGGCCAACCAGGATGGTTGGTTGCCTCACTTGAACATCCCAAAACACGTTTTTTTTTTGAGACAGAGTCTCACTCTGTTGCCTGGGCTGGAGTGCAATGGCGCGATCTCAGCTCACTGCAACCTCTGCCTCGCAGGTTCAAGAGATTCTCCTGCCTCAGCCTCCCGTGTAGCTGGGATTACAGGCACCTACCATCATGCCAGGCTAATTTTTTGTATTTTTAGTAGAGACAGGGTTTTACTATGTTGGCCAGGTTGGTCTCAAACTCCTCACCTCAGGTGATCCACCCACCTCGGCCTCCCAAAGTGCTGGGATTACAGGTGTGAGCCACTGCACCCAGACCTATAACACTTAATATGTTTTCCTGAATGAGAGGCTTTTCCTCTCCATCTTTTTCTCTCTGAAATATTTTTCTGTCAGTTATTGCTGTATATTTTGTTTTTTCATTTTAAAATCTAATCTCTGATATAAATCCAGAGTACAAAAGTGAAAAAAAAACCTCACTAAAAAGGAAGTTATTTTGGTACCAAAAGCTCAGGAATGTTAGCTTGGTGGAAAATTTAGCCTTTTAGCCAGGTGTGGTGGCTCATGCCTGTAATCCCAGCACTTTGGGAGGCCGAGGTGGGAAGATTGCATGGGGCCAGTAGTTTGAGATCACCCTGAGCAACTGATCTCAGATGGGAGACCCCATCTCTACTAAAGAATTAAAAAATAATAAAAGAAAAGAAAATTTAGCCTTTTTTTTTCAGAGTTTCCACCTTTCTTTGCATATACACTCTGGGAAGAAGGAGATGCTTTACCTGGAAAGATGTAGAAAGATTTATGCAAGGTTGGGCGTGATGGCTCATGCCTGTAATTCCAGCACTTTGGGAGGCTCAGGTGGGTGAATCACTTGATGTAAGGAGTTCAAGACCAGCTTGGCCAACATAGTGAAAACCCATCTCCACTAAAAATACAAAAATTAGCTGGGCATGGGGGCATATTTCAGCTACTCGGGAGGCTGAGGCAGGAGAATTGCTTGAACCTAGGAGGTGGAGGTTGTAGTGAGCTGAGATTGTGCCACTATACTCCAGCCTGGGCAACAGAGCAAGACTCTGTCTCAAAAAAAAAAGAAGTATGCAGAGGCCTTGATTTTCCTACCAAGAGCTAACAATGAGCTGATAGATAAGAATTAAAACCTGCAGTCTAATTCAGCCTTAAGAAACTGTAAGGACCAGTCACAGTGGCTCATACCTGTAATCTCAACACTTTGGGAGGCTGAGGTGGGAGGATCTCTTGAGCTCAGGAGTTCAAGACCAGGCTGGACAACATGGCAAAACCCCATCTCTACAAAAAATACAAAGTTTAGACAGGCATGTTGACATGCACCTGTAGTTCCAGCTACTTGCAGAGGGCTGAGGGAGGAGGATGACTTGAGAATGGGAAGTCAAGGCTGTGGTGAGCCATGATTGTGCCACTGCACTCCAGGCTGGAAAACAGAGCATTATTTTGTCTCAAAAAAAGAAAAGAAACTAAGACGTATTTGATACATAATTTGGCAGAGTTTGTCCATAAATTCTATGTCTTCCTTTCTATCTCCATTCATAATTCTATACCCTGCTGTGGGCTGGCCAACATAATGATTAGGTGATCTAGGGTTTAGGCAAACTGGATAATTGTAAATGCTTAGAAATTTACCACAAAGTTCCCTCTGTTTTCTTTGGGATTGTCTCCTAACTTTTCACTTCTTTTAAGGGTCTGCACATGCTGTTCTCAGCAGCTACTGGTCCCAGCACCTGGGGAAGAAAGAAATGCATGGTAGGACAGCTCTTTACCAATTTATTTTTTATTTGCCTAATTCCAAGCTAGTGTTCCTTCTCATATGCACTATCCCCTTGAAAATGTAATAAAATGTTATGTATTACCCATGTGAAAATGAAAGGTTTTAAGATTCATTCACCCTTAAAGATCCTTCCTCCCAAACATCCTTCACCTCTGCCTCCCCAACACACAGAGAGTGTATGGACACAGACACAGTAACTGCCCAATAAGTGTTTGTTGAATAAAATTAACTAGCTGTATAACTTGGGCCCAGAGTGGTTATTTATAATGTGATGGGTTGAGATTGGATGATCAGCATGGTTCATTACTGCTATTGCTAGTAAGGAACCATGGCTTGAATCAAACAAATTACTTTGGAAGTCCCCTAGTGATTAATGTATTGCTTAGGGGCAGAGAAAAATGATTGCAGCTGATGAAGGCTGCACTGCCCTGGTCATCCAAGGAGTTTGTGACCCTGATTTGGAGAGAGCGGGATGGCTATTCATTTTTTTTAGCGAGTCTAATTATTCTTTTAAGTACTGAGCTCCTGGAAGACTGAGGCTATGCCTCTTTTGTCTGCCTGGCACACGAGGTTGCTTGAACATGGTATGAGTGAATGAACTCCCTCTGTCCTATTCAGAGCTGAGAAGATGGGGGCCTTCTCAGAAGGGCCAAGACCACCCCTCTTCATCTTCTTAGACTCTCCTGTTTCAAACATCTTTGCTTACTCTTCGAGAGAGGGGAAGAAAGGATGAGTGGCATATGTCTGGGCCATTACAGGAATGAGTAGAGGAAGTGGCCCAGGAAAAGGCTCAGGAAGGGAGTATGTGGAGCTGTGTGTTTTTAGATCAAATTGAGTTTGTGGTCCTCTCAGTTTGCTGGAGAATGAGGATGGGAGTGGGCAATACCATAAACAGATGAAGGAATTTATTCTTGAAACTGATCTGGGAGGACTCTAGGATTTGTAATAAGAAATCTTTCACTATGCTCTGTTAATTTAAAACAGTGAACGTGCTCTTAATTTGACTTGTTTGTTTTCTTTAGCATTTCAGTGTTCCCGCCGAGGAGGAGAGCTGGGGATTTCACTTCGTCCAGATGGAAGGGTTGACATTAGAGGAGGTGCAGCTATCGTTTTAGAGGGCACGCTGACAGCCTAGAGGTGGTTGTGCTGTGACGCCACGGTCTCTAACCACCAAGTATTTTCTGCATAAAAAGAAATGTAAGGGGCTGCCTTTAGTAAATGTGCATCGTTGTCCACTTAATCCTCATGTTAAAAATTTAAAAATGGGCTGGGCGCAGTGGCTCACACCTGTAATCCTAGCATTTTGGGCGGCCGAGGTGGGCGGATCACCTGAGGTCAGGGGTTCTGTACCAACCTGGCCAACATGGCAAAAACTCATCTCTACTAAAAATACAAAAATTGGTTGGACATGGTGGTATATTGCCTGTAATCCCAGCTACTTGGGAGGCTGAGGCAGGAGAATCGCTTGAACCCAAGAGGCAGAGGTTGCAGTAAGCTGAGATCGTGACATTGCGCTCCAGAGTGGGACTCCGTCCCCACCCCCCAAAAATTGAAAAATGAAGACATTTTAATGGAGATTTAATAATGCTTCCAGACTAATGAACTAATGGAGTTTTGGCTCCACTTATGAGTGTATTTGAAAAGTAAGTAACCAGTTACAAAGAATAATGCCACTTCATTTCGTTATGACTACCCATCAGAGAAAGAGGAATACATTTCTGAGGAGTGGAACTAAAGCATTTGAATTTAAATGAGTACCTGATTTTGCAGCCATTAAAATGAGTCAATAACTATGTAGAAATATAGAAAAATATTTTATAATACTAAGAAAAAAGAGGACAATAGGCCATAAAATGTTAGCAGTGTTATGCTATGTCTATATAGACAAGCATGGGCCATGAAAGATAGCAAAGAGGAAACAGTTCATGTGTGGGAGGCGATCAGAAGTCATTTGAATGTATCTAAGAAGTGATTTCCTTTATTGTTTCGCTCATGTACAAAGACTAAAAATCAGGACAAATCCAGAAAATTAAAACAAAAAGTATGTATTCGGCTGCTTCCTGTTATAGTGAAATTAAACACTAAAAGTAACGTGATCTCAGCTGGGCCTGGTGGCTCATGCCTGTAATCCCAGTGTTTTGGCAGGCTGAGTCCTGGGCAATACAGTGAGACCCTGTCTCTATTAAAAAAATGTAATGTAATCTCAATCTTTTTCTTGATATATGGCTTGACAGTGATCATGTAAGAGGAATTCTTCTCTTACTTTAATAAAATGGGTTTTAACATAACTTTAAATTCAGTTAAATCTACAATATTGAATACCTGTAGTTGACTTCGGGATGGGGACTTTTTCAAGTCTTTAAGAGTGTTTGCTTAAGGTGATCTCATTGATGGCAGTTCTAAGCCATCTCAAAAACTGCAAGCTAATCAGACATTCTTTAGTGACCTCAAGTTTTTCACTTTAATTGCTACTGTGTTTTCTATTTTTACTGATCTTTGCTAATTTTATTATCGCAGTAATCTATGTTTCTTATGTTTTGCAATAAAGTCAATAATTCACTAGCGTTAATGCCTTAACTTAATGAGTAACCTGTGGCCCTCACAGACCTCACAGGGGACCACAACACACCCATGGGTCATGATACCAAGGGCGAGAATCACCAGAGGGTTTTCACCAAACCTGAGACTGAACTGTGGGATTTTCCCAACCTGAGACTGAACTGTATGAATAATTGTATATAAATGCATAGTTGAGAGGGCCTGAATTTGATTAGGTCTGAATTTGATCTCTCAAATGTATGCTAAATTTTTTTTTTTTTTTTTGAGACAGAGTCTTGCTCTGTCGCCCAGGCTGGCGGGATCTTGGCTCACCGCAGTCTCTACCATCCAGGTTCAAATGATTCTCACGACAGCCTCCAAAGTAGCTGGGATTACAGGCACCCACCACCATGCCTGGATAATTTTTGTATTTTTAGTAGAGATGGGATTTCACCATGTTGGCCAGGCTGGTTTCAAACTTCTGGCTTCAAGCGATCCACCCGCCTTGGCCTCCCAAAGTGCTAGGATTACAGGCGTGAGCCACCATGCCCGGTGATGCTATATTCTTAATAGATATTTTTGGGAAAGAAGTCTCTGTGATAACTCTGGATTCCTTTTCACATGAAAGTTGTTATTTGTAGCACCTGATTTGACTTTTCATCTTATATTTTCAAACCACATATTCACTTGTGTGATTTTTAAAAAATTGTCCAATGGATAGTTGAGTCCTAATAGTCAGAAAACTGATTTTTTTTCCGTACATACACTGTTTATGTAAGAATACTGATTGATTATATATTTCCTCAGCCTGCTGAAAATGGACTCAGGGGCTGCAGTGCACATGTGTGTGGGAAGTAGTCACCAGGGAAGAAGGGGCCGGGGCAGGACAAGCACACCTGAATAGATACACAAGGCATCTATTTATCTTTCTATAAATATGCCTATATTTATATAAAAATAAACATATTTAAACACTAAGGCTGGGCATGGTGGCTCATGCCTGTAATCCTAGCACTTTGGGAGGCTGAGGTGGGCAGATCACTTGAGGTCAGGAGTTTGGGATCAGCCTGGCCAACATGGTGAAACCCATCTCTACTAAAAATATAAAAATTAGCTGGGCATGGTGGCAGGTGCCTGTAATCCCAGCTACTCAGGAGGTTGAGACAGGAGAATTGCTTGAACCCAGGAGGGAGAAGTTTTAGTGAGCTGAGATCATACCACTGCATTCCAGCCTGGGTGACAGAGTGAGACTGTCTAAAAATAAATAAATAAGCACTAAAATCACATTTGGTCTTGACATGAGCATGTGTAATCAAATTCTACTTAATTAAATACAGTATGATGGGATTTTAATTCGCCAAGTGGGGAAGCTTATCACATCTTGATGACAGCTACCATTTAAGTCCATTTTGCCATTTTGCTGACTTTCCTTATTTTGGCTTCTTAGTTATTATGCAGCATTTTAATGTTAGTTTGTTTTTTTGTTTTTAAGAGAAAAAAGGCTCTTTTGCCCTTGCTTTTGCCTAGGCTGGAGTACAGTGGCACAACCATAGCTCATTGTAGCCTTGAACTCCTGGGCTCAAGTGATCCTCCCATCTCAGCCTCCTGAGTAGCTAGGGCTACAGGCATGTGCCTCCATGCTCAGCTTATTTTGAATTTTTTTGTTGAGACAGGATCCTGTTATGTTGCCCAGGCTGGTCTTGAACTCTTGGCTTCAAGTGATCCTCCTGCCTTCAAGTAATGCCTCCTCCCAAATCACTGGCATTACAGACATGAGCCACTGAGCCTGGCCAGCTTTTTATGTTTTTATACAAATATAAAAAGTGACATCTCTGGGTAGCAAGAGCAAAGAGCCTCTAGGTTATACTCTGTACAGTGAGGTATCTGCTGATATGGGTGGGGCAGGTTTGAGAGCCCTAGTTCCAGATAGGTTTGTTCCTGCCTCTTCCACCTCTGCCCACCTCTTGCCTACCTGATCTTACTGAGAATGGACAGAGGTGAATGCAGAGGGAGATAGTGAGAGCTGTGTTTCTGCTTGTATTCATCCGTTTTCATGCTGCTAATTAAGACATACCTGAGATTAGGTAATTTATTAAGAATAGGTAATTTATAAAGAAAAAGAGGTTTAGTGGACTCACAGTTCCACATGGCTGGGGAGGCCTCAAGATCATGGCAAAGATGAAAGGGACATCTTATATGGTGGCAGGTAAGAGAGAATAAGAGCCAAGTAAAAGGGGAAACCCCTTATAAAACCATCAAATCTCATGAGACTTATTCAATACCACAAGAGCAGTGTGGGAGAAACTGCCCCCATGATTCAATTATCTCCCACCAGATTCCTCCTACAACATGTGGGAATTGTAGGAGCTACAGTTCAAGGTGAGATTTGAGTGGGAACACAGCCAAACCATATTATTCCATTCTTGGTCTCTCCCAAATCTCATGTCCTCACATTTCAAAACCCATCACGCCTTCCCAACAGTCCCTCAAAGTCTTAACTCATTTCCGCATTAACTCAAAAGTCCACAGTCCAAAGTCTCATCTGAGACAAGGCAAGTCCTTCTGCCTATGAGCCTGTAAACTCAAAGCAAGTTAGTTACTTCCTACATACAACGAGGGTACAGGCATTGAGTAAATACAACTGTTCCAAATGGGAGAAATTGGCCAAAACAAAGGGGCTACAGGCCCCATGAAAGTCTGAAATCCAATGGAGCAGTCAACTTTTAAAGCTCCACAATGATCTCTTTTGACTCCATGTCTCACATCCAGGTCACGTTGATGCAAGAGATGGGCTCCCATGGCCTTGGGCAGCTCTGACCCTGTGGCTTTGCAGAGAATAGCCCCCCTCATGGCTGATTTCACAGGCTGGTGTTGAGTGTCTGTGGCTTTTCTAGGTGCATGGTGCATGCTGTCGGTCAATCTACCATTATGGGGTCTGGAGGATGGTAGTCCCTCCTCTCACAGCTTCACTAGCAGTGCCCCAGCAGGGACTCTGGGGGCTTTCATCCCACATTTCCCTTCCACGCTGCCTTATCAGAGGTTCTTCATGAGGGCTCTGCCCCTGCAGCACACTTCTGCCTGGGCACCCAGGCATTTCCATATATCCTCTGAAATCTAGGCAGAGGTTCCCAAACCTCAATTTTTTACTTCTGTGGACCTGCAGGCTCAACACCATGTGGAAGCTGCCAAGGCTTGGGGCTTGCACACTCTGAAGCAATGGCCTAAGCTGTACCTTGGCCCCTTTTAGCCATGCCTAGAGCAGTTGGGATGCAGGACACCAAGTCCCTAGGCTGCACACAGCAGGAGGGTCCTGGACCCAGTCCATGAAACCATTTTTTCCTTCTAGGTCTTTGGGCTGTAATGGGAGCGGCTGCCACAAAGGTCTCTGACATGCCCTGGAGACATTTTCCTCATTGTATTGGTGATAAACATTTGACTCCTTGTTACTTATGCAAATTTCTGCAGCTGACTTGAATTTATCTTCAGAAAATCGGATTTTCTTTTCCATCGCATGCTTAGACTGCAATTTTTTTGAACTTTTATTCTTTGTTTTCCTTTTAAAACTGAATGCTTTTAGCAGCACCCAAATCATGTCTTGAATGCTTGCTGCTTAGAAATTTCTTCAGCCAGATACCTTAAATCATCTCCTTCAAGTTCAAATTTCCACAAATCTCGAGGGCAGGGGCAAAATGCTGCCAGTCTCTTTGCTAAAACATAGTAGGAGTCACCTTTATTCCACTTCCCAACAAGTTCCTCATCCCCATCTGAGATCACCTCAGTCTGGATTTTATTGTCCATGTCATTATTAGCATTTTGGTCAAAACCATGCAACAAGTCTCTAGGAAGTTCCAAACTTTCCCACATTTTCCTATCTTCTTTTGAGCCCTCAAAACTGTTCCAACCTCTACCTGTTACCCAGTTCCAAAGTTGCTTCCACATTATTGGTTATCTTTACAGTAGCACCCCACTTCCAGTACCAATTTACTGTATTAGTCTGTTTTCATGCTGCTGATAAAGGCATATGCGACATTCAATAATTTATAAAGGAAAAGTGGTGGCCGGGTGTGGTGGCTCACGCCTGTAATCCCAGCACTTTGGGAGGCTGAGGCGGGTGAATCACGAGGTCAAGAGATCAAGACCATCCTGGTCAACATGGTGAAACCCCGTCTCTACTAAAAAATACAAAAAAAAAAAAAAATTAGCTGGGCATGGTGTCGCATGCCTATAATCCCAGCTACTTGGGAGGCTGAGGCAGGAGAATTGCCTGAACCCAGGAGCTGGAGGTTGTGGTGAGCCGAGATCACTCCATTGCACTCCAGCCTGGGTAACAAGAGCGAAACTCCATCTCAAAAAAAAAAGATAAAAGGTTTAATGGACTCACAGTTCCACACAGCTTGGGAGGCCTCATAATTATGACAGAAGGTAAAACGCATGTCTTAGATGGTGGCAGACAAGAGAGAATGAGAGCCAAGCAAAAAGGGAAACCGCTTATAGAACAAGCAGATCTCTTGAGACTTATTCACTATCACAAGAACAGTATGGGGGAAACTGCTCCCATGATTCAATTATCTCCCACCAGATCCCTCATGCAAGTTGCGGGAATTATGGGAGCTACAATTCAAGATGAGATTTTGGTGGGGAGATAGCCAAACCATATCACTGCTTTCAAGTTTAATGTTGCTATTGGTTTAAAAAAGTGCTCCCAGCAAAGTTGGCATTCCATCTCTGGTGTATTGAATTAGACTAGATCATGCTAAAGTATAAAATATCTACAAAATCACAGTGGCTTAAAAATAACAAACACTTTATTTTGACCTCAGTTGTCTAGTACAGGTCAGGTTCCTTGTGATCTCACAGAGGCTCAGGCTGATTTTTCATTCTGCCATCTTAACATGTGGTCTCTGTGGTTGTGGCAGCAGATGGAAAGAGTGTATGGAAACTTTCCTAGGCTTTGGCTCAGTAGTGATAGGTATCAATTCTGTCCACAGCCTTTGGCCAGAACTGATCACATATCTCCATCTAACAGCAAAGGAGCTGAGAAATGCAACAGCTCATGGATATATTCTGTGTACGGTAAATATAATTGCTATGCCTGGGGAAGGTTTTCAGGCCACTCAGACAGTTCCTTTTAGGATGACATTACTTGAGTAAATTTGTCACAGCCCGGGGGATTAGGCGTATAGTCTCAAAAGCCTATTATGTAAGTGCACCAAGAGTAAATCTATCTCTTAGGGGCAGACTCACATTAACCTAACACTTAGAGGCTGATGTATAAAGCCAGAACACCAATTTGTTACTTTACAATGAGCAATGTAACCACAGAATAGATTAGATCAAAGCATTTTCTCCCTATTTGCATAGCTGTGTGGGAAGTCAAATTGTAATCAGAAAGCTCCTCGGTGACCAGGGAGCCAAAACAAGGAGAGTCAGCAAAATGGACTTAAATGTCAGATGTCATCAAGACATGATAAACTTCCCCACTTAGCCAACACATTAGAATCCCATCATCCTGCATTTGCTTTAGTCAAATTTGACTACATGACATGTGCTCAGATAAAGGCCAAATGTGATTTTAGTGTGTATTGATTGATAGCCTTTCTCTGTTGCCCAGGCTGGAGTGCAGTGGTGTGATCATAGCTTATTGCAGCCTTAACTTCTTGGGCTCAGTCCATCCTTCTACTCCAGCCTCCTGAGTAGCTGGGACTAGAGACACGTGCCACCAATCCTGGCTAATTTTTTGACTTTTTATAGAGATGAGGTCTCACTATGTTGCCCAGGCTGGTCTCAAACTCCTGGGCTCAAGTGACTCTCCTGCCTTGGCCTCCCAAAATGCTGAGATTATAAGTGTAAGCTGCCACACTTGGCCTAAATATATTTATTTTTGGTACAACTATGGTCCTTAGTCCAAGTGAACAATTTTGTCAAACACTCAACAAAACAGTGATTTGTTCTAGCACTGTAGTTAAAAACTGGTAGTGCTAGGCTTGTGAACTGGTGTATATCTGCCTACTATGGTTTAGGTCATTCATGGGATTTTCTTTCTTTTTTTTTTGAGACAGAGTCTTGCTCTGTCACCCAGGCAGAAAGGAATGTCTGGGTTATGACAAGGGGTTGTGGAGACCAAGGTTTTAAAATTTTTAAATTTTTTCCTTTAAAAAAAATTTTTACTTTAAGTTTCAGGACACATGTGCAGAATGTGCAGGTTTGTTACGTAGGTATACATGGCCCATGGTGATTTGCTGCACCTATCAATCAACCTGTCATCTAGGTTTTAAACGCTGGATGCATTAGATATTTGTCCTAATGCTCTCCCTCACCTTGCCAAGGTTTTATCATGCAGTTGAAGCCTCCAAGAGCAGGCTTGAGAGAGAAAGATTGTAAATGTTTCTTATCCGGACTTAAAAAGTCTGTATCAGTAATTCCAAAAGGGAGGAGGATATAACAAGGCATGTCCCCTTTCTATCATGGCCCGAGCTAGTTTTTCAGGTTAAGTTTGGAATGCCCTTGCCAAGAAGAGGGATCCATTCAAATGGCTGAGGGGCTTAGAATTTTATTTTTGGTTTACAGGAACCCAAAAGGAATTAAGGGTGGCTTCTGGAAGCTGAAGGCAGCCTGTAGCCATTAGCCAGCAGGAAAATGAAGCTCTCAGTCCTATGAAAGCAAGGACCTGAATTTTGCCAACAATCTGAGTAAATTTGGAAGCAGATCCTTCCCCAGTTGATCATTCTTATGAGACTGAGACCCCAGCCCTTGCTAATACTTTGATTGCAGCTTTGCAGAGAACTCAGTTGTGCCTGGACTTCTGATCCACAGAAATTGTGAAATAATAGATGTGTGTTGTTTTTAGCTACTAAGTTTGTGGTAATGTTCGTGCAACAATAGAAAACTACTATCCAAAACATTAGGAACAGTTACTTAATATTATTGAATATCCAGTTAATGTTCTCATTCCCCAATTGCCTTACACGTTTTTTTCCAGTTTTTTTTTTGTTGTTGTTGTTATTGTTTTTTAAGACAAGGTCTGACTCTGTCACCTAGGCTGGAGTGCAGTGGCACAATCTCACCTTGCTGCAACCTCCACCTCCCAGGTTCAAGTGATTCTCTTGCCTCTCAAGTAACGGGACTACAGGCATGCACCATCATGCCTGGCTAATTTTTGTATTTTTAGTAGAGATGGGGTCTCACCATGTATACCAGGCTGGTCTCAAACTCCTGATCTCAAGTGATCCACCTGCCTCAGCCTCCAAAGTTCTGGGATTACAGGCGTGAGCCACCGTGCCCGGCCTTTTCACAGTATTTTCCTAAGACATGCTGACTTTAGCCTGCCCTTGTGTGAGATGTGAGTCCACTGTATGTAATCTGCCTCATAGCACAGTCTGGATTCTCCTTTCCATGCCTTAGCCTTTCTCTCAGATAAGACCTGCCTGGGCCCTGCCAAAGCTTCACTCCCGGAGCAAGGTTTTCCAGAGCTTCCATGCTAACCAGTCCTGTCTTTCCACTTGGATCAGATTATATTAAGCCACTCTGTTCCTTTAATGTTGATAGACATTGCCCAATGTCCCAGGGAGGTGGGAGTGAGGGGGAACATGTGTCCCCCCGCTGAGAACCACTGCTTTAAGTTTATCTCTCTTTTTTCTTTCATTTATTTGTTTTGTGGCTTAACTCTCAGAGAGTGAATTGTTTTCCGCTTTCAAGTTCTTTTCAGGAGAGGAATCCCCGCTGCTGTCCATCCCTGTATCCTGTGAGTTAGGTACCCAGCTGGGATCTGAATTCACACCCTGTGGTCAGGTCTGTTGTAAAACAATCTTACATGGTTGGTAAAAAGCAATGTAAGACACCCTGCTAGAAGCTGGCAGGGTAGAGACCTGGGGGGCAGGCGGAAAATGTGATTAGAGAGGGAGCTTACCGGGCTCTCAAGGGACTCACGCTAACTGTGGAGACCAGGCTCATCCTTTTATGAAAAGATAATGAGCTCTTGTGTAGGTCTGTGATTAAGGCCTACATATATGGCACAAACACTGAGGGTGATGGCATAGCCAGGGGAATACTGAAGAAAAGGGCTTAGAAAGATCAGGGTATGAGCAAAGATGCAGAGATGAATGCTCAGGGCATGTGTAGTTTTTGTCTAGGCTTTCTACATCTAGAAAATAGTTGTTAGGTTCTGGGGCCACACAGAGAGAAATTTAACAAAACAGCAATATTTAAAACTAACAATCCAGCTCAATAGATAACATGTAAACATAAGGACAAATAAACAATACTGAAAGTTATTTTTACTGGTTTTTTTTTTGAAACTATTAATATCTTAAAAAAAGCCTTAGAAATCATAGCAATGGTGAGGCATTCCCAGTTTATGAGAAAGGGTGGAATCATGGTTCTCTGACGATCAGCATCAGCACCACCTGGGAGCTTGTTAGAAATGTGAATTCATGGCTGTGCATGGTGGCTCACGCCTATAATCCCAGCACTTTGGGAAGCCGAGGCAGGCGGATCACCCGAGACCAGGAGCTTGAGACCAGCCTGGCCAACATGGTGTGATTCCATCTCTATGAAAAATACGAAAGTTAGCCGGGCATGGTGGTGTGTACCTGTAATCCCAGCTACTGAGGGGTTCTGAGGCAGGAGAATCACTTGTACCCAGGAGGTGGAAGTAGAGATTGTGCCACTGCACTCTAGCCTGGGTGACAGAGCAAGACTCTGCCTCAAAAAGAAAAAACAAGAAAAGAAAAGAGAAATGTACATTCATAGGCCCTATCCTAAACCAACTGAATTAGAAGCTCTGGGGAGGAGGCCCAGCTATCTGGGTTGTAACAAGCCAGCCAGGTGATTTTGGAGTACGCTTAAATTCGAGAACCATTAGGTATTTAGCCAACCATTTTCTTCACTCCTGAGTGACAATTCTTGTGCAGCTCAATCACTTTTAAATGTGCATTGCCCCATAATCTCCCTGACTATACCAACATGCTTGCTGCTTAGTGAGCTTTTAGAGAAGCTTTTATTTTTTTAAATTTTTTATTAGCTTCTAGTTCTGTTCAGCATAGAAAAATTAGCTGTGCTCAGGTGGGAGCTGTTCAGTAATGTGTTGGTAATAAACAGATTAGTTAATCAGCCATGATTTATTAATGATGAATTAATTATACCTGATTGTGCAGTTCTGCTAGCTAAATGGAGCTTTAAAGGAGTTGTTTTATTAATCATCATGGTGCTAATTGCAGAGTCTTACAGAAGGATCACTAATTAAACATGCAACCATATGCAGAACAAGTTGGACTGCTGAGACCTGCAAGAACAAAAAAATACTCATTTTAAGGGAGCCAAAACAAACTTTATTTTATGCAATATTAGAGAGTTGACTTGGCAATATTAATTAATCACTGCACATTAATATTGTACTTTTTTCCAGCAGGAATTGATCCATATGTCAAAACTGATGTAGTATTCTAGTGAGATCTGTTATAGGGGAAGTATTGCTCAATTATATTTTCTGTTTACACATATGCAAACTACTATAACAGAGACCATTGGTTAACTGGATGGGACTTAGAGAAGAAAGAGTGAAAAATTACATACCAGGTCTTCGTACTTTATATAGAGCATCAAGTGAGTGGGAGATTGTGAATTCCTAGAGACCAGGAACACTCCTGCTTGTTGAATCACAAAAAGAGGATTTATAGCCTGGTGCTATTGGAGCGAAGAAAGAAATGAGACTGCCCAGTTTAAAAGGTATCAGATAAACTCAAAGACAGGTAAATACAGGGAAAATGTTTTCCAATTTTAGCTCAAGGTAGATGAAAGGCAGTTCATGACTTTTTGTTGATAACAAACATTTGTCATTTGGGGTTATTCAGCATCCAAACACCATTGTTCTGGCACCTGAAATTGGGAAATTCTCATCGTGAGCAGTCTGAAGACGTAGTACCCAACTTCCATCATGGAAGCCAAAGTGGCCAGATGCCATCTCTTTCTGCAAATCAGAGAGTGGGCATGCTATTCATGCTCAACCAAATCAGAGATGTTGTCCTGGGAATTTGGTAGCTTCTCAGAATAATGGCTGAAAGAATAGTATTTGTTTAATTTTGGTCCAGTAGGTAATGGAATCCAGTTTGTGTTGTATGAACATATGATAAACGTGTGATGATGAGGAGGATGATGATAGTGATGACAAACTTGAAGGTTGTCTTGATTTTTCTGGAGTCCTCCTTCTTGGATATTTCCTCTCCTGTTCATTGGTTTAAGAATGAATATGTGATACAATTCTGGCCAATGAGGCATGAGGGTAAGTTTTCAGTTCAGGGAGTCAAGTGAGGAAAACGGTGGAATGAAACAGCATTTGACATGTATAGGTTTACTTAACCCCCTGATTTTCAGTAAGGCATCCCTCCTTCATCTGTGCTTTGTGCCTTTGAGTCTTGAGATATTCTGTTTTATATTCTCCAAAGAAAAAAACCTCTAGTCTTTTTTCCCATGGTGGGGCAAGGAAATTGCCCAATGTGTGGGAGCTGTTCAGCACATATGTATTATATTATTATTATTATTTTTTGAGATGCAATTTTGCTCTTGTTGCCCAGGCTGAAATGCAATGGCACGAGCTTGGCTCACTACAACCACCACCTCCTGGGTTGAAGTGATTCTCCTGCTTTAGCCTCCCAAGTAGCTGGGATTATGGGCATGCACCACCACACCCAGCTAATTTTTGTGTTTTTAGTAGTGATGGGTTTCACCATGTTGGTCAGGCTGGTCTTGAACTCCTGACCTCAAGTGATCCACCCACCTTGGCTTCCCAAAGTGCTGGGATTACAGGCATGATCCACCTTGCCCAGCCAATATTATGTGTATTTTAGCATAAGTATACAATGTGTATCAGCCATCGAAATCAAGATATAGAATGTTTCCATCACCCTAGAAGGTTCCCTCATGCTCTTTCTTGGCAAAACAAAAGAAAACAAAACAAAACAACTGTCCATATCTCACTCCCTAAAATTATCACTATTCTGAAACTTCTGTCACTATAAATTAATTGCTTATTCATGGGCCTTTTATGTTTTTTTGAGACTGGGTCTTGCTCTGTCTCCCAGGCTAGAGTAGAATGGCTGGATCATGGCTCACTGCAGCCCCCACCTTCCAGGCTTAAGCAATTCTCCCACCTCAGCCTCTTGAACAGCTGGGACTACAGTAGGTGCATGCCATCACACCTGGCTAATTTTAGTATTCTTTGTAGAGACGAGGTTTCACCATGTTGCTTAGGCTGATCTTGAACTCCTGAGCTCAAGCAATCTGCCTGCCTTGGCCTCCCAAAGTGCTGAAGTTACAGATGTGAGTTACTGCCTCCAGCCTATTCTTCAGCTTTTATAAATAGATTCATAAAGTATATACTATTTTGTTTTGGTTTCTTTCATTCAACATGATGTTTTTGAGATTTATACATGATGTTGAATTTGTATTCTTTTATTGCTGTATAGCATTTCATTGTGTAACTGTATTACACTTTATTTTTACCTTTTGTTGGTGATCATTTGGGTTATTTCTAGTTTTTGGTTATAAATACATTCTTGTACATGTCTTTTGGTAGACATATACATGCATTTACTTTGAATAGCATACCTAGGAGTATAATCGAATAATAGGTTTATTATATGTTTAAATTTTATACTGCCAAATGGTTTTCTAATGCAGTTGAATGAATGTTACACTTTTCACCAGTAACATCTGAGAGTTCTACTTTTTCTACATTCTCACCAGCACTTGGTAGTGTCACTCTTTAATTTTAGTCATTTTGGGAGAGGGTACTGCTATCGCATTGTAGGTTTTAAATTGCATACCCCAGTGAGTTTTGGTGTTGTACAGCTTCATCACAGGTGTGTTGGACATTTGGATTCTTCTTTTGTAAAAATGCCAGTTCAAATTTTTGTCTACTTCATAATTGAGTTGTCTTTCTATTGATTTGTAGGGGTTCTTTATATATTTTGTATATGAATCCTTCATCAGATGTATATACTGTGAACATTTTCTCCTAGTTTGTGGCATGCTCATTCACTTTCTTAATGAAATATTTTAATAATGTAAATTAATTTTCATAAAGCCTAATTTATCAATTCTATATTTTCTGATTAATGTTTTTTGTGTTCAGTCTAAGAAATCTTCAACTTCCCCAAGAATATGAAGATTTCTCTTTGTTTTATTTTAGAAATTATTTTACTTTTCACATGTAGATCTATGATCTACCTCAAATTAATTTTTTGAGACAGGTTACATTAACTCTATAGCGCAATCTATAGAGAGCTGATATCTTAACAATATTTAGTCTTCTAATCAATGAATTTTCCTTGCACATATTTAAGTCTTTCTATTTTTCTTAGCAATATTTTGTAATTTTCAGTGCAGTGATCTATGATTTTGCCACTGCACTCCAGCCTGAGTAACAACATGAAACCAGGCTGAAAAAAAAGAAAATAAAACAAATTTTATCTTTCAGTAATTTATTATAAATACATATGCAACTGATTTTATATATTTATCTTCTATTCAGTGACCTTACTAGAACTTATAAATTTTAATTGCTTATAGAGTCTTTTTTTTTTAGTCAGACTCTCACTTTACCACCCACACTAGAGTGCAGTGGGGTGATCTTGGTTCACTGCAATCTCTGCCTCTTGGATTCAAGCAATTCGCCTGTTTTAGCCTCCCAAGTAGCTGGGATTACAGGCACACACCACCATGCTCCACTAATTTTTGTATTTTTTGTAGAGACAGGGTTTCACCATGTTGACCAGACTGGTCTCTAACTCCTGACCTCAAGCAATCTGCTTGCCTCAGCCTCCCAAAGTGCTGGGATTACAGGTGTGAGCCACTGCACTCAGCTGCTTATAGATTCTTTCGTTTTTTCTACATAAACAGTCATGCCATTTGTGAATAACAAAGATGTTTTTACTGCTTCCTTTCTACCCTTCACTCTTTATTTTCTTTTTCTTACCACTGGCTTAGCTCATAAGGCACATGCCCTGAGGGGCCACGTGGAAGCTGTGTCACCTTTTGTGACTTAGACTCACACTGTTTCACTTCTGCTACATTCTACTGTTGGAGGCATTTACAAAGTCTATCCAGGCTCAAGGGACAGGAACCGTGAATCCAACCTCTTGAGACAGAAGTGTCAATATCACGTTGTAAGAAGAGAATAGAGGATGAGATATATTTAACCGCAGCTACCTTTGGAAAATACAATCTGCCACATGAGAGTTTTGGAAAATTGCTCATATTCTTGGGAAGATGGGAACATAACTGGTTAGCAAGAACAAGGAAGGATACCTTCACTAAAAAGAAAACTTGGCCGGGCATGGTGGCTCATGCCAGTAATCTCAGCATTTTGGGAGGCTGAGGTGGGTCAATCACCTGAGGTCAGGAGCTTGAGACCAGCCTGGCCAACAGGGCAAAACACCATCTCTACTAAAAATACAAAAATTATCCGGGCTTGGTGGCAGGTGCATGTAACCCAGCTTGTTGGGAGGCTGAGGGAGGAGAATTGCTTGAAGCCAGGAGGCAGAGATTGCAGTGAGCCAAGATCGCGCCATTGCACTCCAGCCTGGGCAACAGAGCAAGACCCTGTCTCAAATAATAATAATAAGAAGAAGAAAACGACTTGATGTAAATCTTGAACCTTTTTTGTATTGAGCAAAGGCACCTCTGTCATTGAACCATCATCACAAAACATATGGATGTACTTACAGTTCATCATCAAAAACTTTTGAAAATGTTCTCAGACTATTGAGCCAGAAGATTCTTTCAAGGAACCAGAAACATTTAAGTGTCAGCTTTTCAAGGACTTTGTGGCTCTTGAGCATGCTCTGCAAAATGATGGACCAGATTGGATCCATTCCACAGTCCTGCGTCATTCTGAGGGTGAAACGGTGTTCCTTGGTTTAACCTTTTTTGGGGCAGTGACTTCTAATCACCATTTCCTAATGCTGCCAAATACTTCTAGGGAGGCCAGAATGGCCACTGTCGGGGATGCGTGGCCCATGACTTTGGGTAATAGTCAGCTGAAGTTATCATAATACCTTTGGGCTAGGTTATTTTCAGTTACAATAGGCAGTTTGTGAATTTGATCAACCAACTGGAGGTTCTGTCTAGCTAAAAATCATGATTTCAGCATAAAAGAAAAGAAGAGGTAAGTTAAAAGTGAACACCTGTTCTTCTAAAATTGCTCTACTGCAGGCACCAGCCCTAGAGAGTTGGCAGATGGTTTTGTGTTTCTAAGCCTGACCTTAGTAGCCCTTCATCAATCTTGAGCTGATTGATTCTCAGGAAAGAGGAGACTCTGTCTTCCCAGGGTACCCAAGGCATCTTTGATTTAGTTACTACCTGAAGACCAATTAATTAGGCCACACTGATTCTCTCAAGTTTTCCTAACAAAGCTAGGACACAGTGGGCACAGCCTAGCTGGAGCAGCTTTTTATGAGCTCATTAATTACCCCAGTCATGGATACTCTGAAAAGATAAAGAAAAAAGCATCGTGCTGCACTAGGGAAGACAAGTGATCTTGAAGGCTGGCAGCTATCTGGTGGTTTGATTCCTACAGCCAAAGGGCTCCCCAGATTTAAAAACTTCCACCTACGGAACTGAAACTACCAACTGTTCCTCCCTCAGCATCCTTACTCATTGCTGTCCCGGGGAGCTTGTTACTCTGTAGAGAGTTTGCCCTTGGTCTTCTGGAACTTTTTATTTTTTAAATTTAGGAGCTTTACCTAAGTTATTTTTCTTTTAAAGTCAGATAGGATTGTACTGGATTTTTATGACATAGAAGTAATTCACAGTCAACTCTCAATTATCCTCTGGTTGGATTATCTGAGGACCTCTCTTACTTTTCTCCCCCACATAGAGCTCTTCTGCCTCTCGGTTCAATTTCTTTCCTAGCCACCCAGTCTTTGTTCTTCCAAGCATTAGGGCTAAACTGAGGAGAGTAAGGGCCAGATCTTGGGGATGTGTTGTTGATGTGATGAGAGGTGATTAAGGAGAAGTAATAGGGCTGGGTGCGGTGGTCACACCTGTAATCCCAGCACTTTGGGAGACTGAGGGCGGATCACAAGGTCAGGAGATCGAGACTATCCTGAGCAACATGGTGAAACCCCAGCTCTACTAAAAATACAAAAATTAGCTGGGCATGGTGGCATGTGCCTATAATCTCAGCTACTTAGGAGGCTGAGGCTGAGGCAGGAGAATTACTTGAGCCAGGGAGTCGGAGGTTGCAGTGAGCTGAGATCATGTCATTGCACTCCAGCCTGACAACAGAGTAAGACTCTGTCTCAAAAAACAAAAAAAGAAGTAATAGAACAGTATACCCACTTTTAAATATAAGTTTTCCCCATTAAAAAATAACGAAAAGCTGACTTTTGCTATTAAGAACTTTCTCTCCATAACAGATGCTATTTTGGGCACTGCATGTATTATTATTTTTTTTTTTTTTGAGACAAAATCTGTCTCTGTCACCTGGGCTGGAGTGCGGTGATATGATCTCAGTTCACTGCAACCTCCACCTCCCAGGTTCAAGTGATTCTCCCGCTTTAGCCTCCCAAGTAGCTGGGATTACAGGCATGCACCACCATGCCTGGCTAATTTTTATATTTTTAGTAGAGACGGGGTTTCACCATGTTGGTCAGGCTGGTCTCGAACTCCTGACCTCATGATCCACCTGCCTCAGTCTCCCAAAGTGCTGAGATTACAGGAGTGAGCCACCGCGCTAGGCCTGCATGCATTAAAAAAATTATGAAATATTTTAAATATATACAAAAAGCAAATTACTATACTTACCCTACCCCCTCGACAACCAAGTATCTGTCATGCACTTTCAACATTTATCACCTCATGATCAATTTTATTTCATAGGTGCCCCCAAACTCGGGTGTTCTGTGTGTTCCAATTCCCATTATTACAACTGCCTTCCTCTTTGCACCTCAGGCTCTCTTTCCCTCTCTTTCACCCCAACCCTGTTTCCTCAGCTAACATGCCCAGAAGGAGGTGACCCAGGTGTGCTGGACTCCTGCCGTCCTGTTCTCCACTCCACTCATGAGGACTGAAGCTTGAGAACACCTCGAGTGTCACATTCTATTACACTTGATGGGGAAACTCGAGGCGTCCTGGTGAAAGGCAAGACAAAAGGACAGCTGTGCTGGGCGGCCCACAAATTAGGGCATCTTTGGAGGCTGTCCTCCAATTCTCAATTAATTTTTAGGAGAGCTTTAATTACGCAACCAACAGTCCTCACTTGAACAATCACCAGCACTTCAGCTGGGAGGGAAAAGAGCGACTGACTGGATTTGCATAATCATTTACCCTAATTAGAATGTCAAAAGTTGGCGGCAAAGAGGCCTAGTTGTGCTGTGACTTAGGATCATTTTAATTTAGTCCAATTTCCCATTATTACAACTGCCTTCCTCTTTGCACCTCAGGTGCTCTTTCCCTCTAAATGATTTGTAGCAAAACCAACATTGAAACAATTAGTAACTTGCTTGTTAGGCTGAACTGAAAAAGTCTAAGGGGTTTCTTTCCTTAACTGGAAACATAATTGTAGTTTCCATCTAAATTTATAATTGCATGGATATTTAGATTTGGCACTGGTAACTTACGTAAACACTTAGCTTTGCATTCAGAAGCCTACTCTCTGTGTGTGTGTGAGTGCGTGCGTGTGTGGAAGAGGGTGGAATCGTCTTCAGGTTGTACTACAAGAAAAATATCATGTCTTTGAATAGTCACTTTTATTCCAATGTTTGAACATAAGGATTTGTGTGTAATAATAATAACTGTATAAGATATACTCATTAATAGAATAATATTCTTTTAAATAATTGGTAAAGCTTCCATGATATGTCTTTTGAACTACAGGTTTGAAAGTACAAAGGCAGCTGAGAATAAGCAGAACTCCAGATCTCAGGCATAGAACCACCCTGACCCATTAGAGACTGCTTAGGCACGCATCGGTGATTTCTGGGTCCGGCTGGTGAGCTACTTACCCAGGTCCTAGTTAAATCAGGCATCCTCTGTTTTTCCGCCCTCATTCCCTTTTAACAGCAGGAGGCCACCTATTTAATTAGTTGGGGGTGGGA